CAGTCAGGTCGGCAGTCTTACCCATGATTGTGGTTTTGAGTAATGAAAAAATAAAATGAAGATTTTTTTTTGTTGTTGTTTATTTCTTGAGTGAACATTGATGCAAAAAATAAAATAATTAAAAAAAAGCAAGTTTAAAGAAATAAAACTTTACATCATAAGCAGATAGTTAATGTACTCTTTCCAACATTCAGGTAGTAATTTCAATAAATCTCTCACAATGTATGATACATTCATTTCTCTGTTTGAACTCTCCTGGAGCCAACTTTTACTTCCCTGTGACCAACAAACAGATGGCGAGTGGGAAACACGTAAATTGTCTTCCAATATTTAACAAGATGTTTAAAGTAGAAATGCTTTATACTATACTCAACATAAAGACTTGCTGTATTATTTACAATATTTACTGTAAAATTAAAAATCAGGAGAGATAGAAAGGCACAAGTTTCCCTTTTTTTAAATACATGTAAACATCTTGTCAAAAAGCATGCAATAACATTTCATTTTACAAAAAAGGATACCATTTTTAGACAAAGTACTTAAATATTGTTTTCCAGCAAAATATAATTCTCTCAAAAATACTTTCCCATTCACTCTGAACTGTTAGACATTATTCTTTTTTTAAAAAAATGGGTGAGAGATTAGCATACAGTCACAACAGATTGTAAAATGAGGCCTGTCTGTTATTGTCTGAAAATTATTGCAAACAGGAACATTGTTGGGATACTTGGTGCTGACAATAAATGAGAGGAAAACCTCGCACGCTAATCTAATATTTTAGAAAGATAAAGCTGGAGGCATAATTCAGATCTTTTGAAGTGAGTTATTTGGGAAAGATTATGAACAATTATTATCTCACCTGATGTAGATAGCTCTTTAAACATTCTCAGCTTGGACAAATAGAACTTGGTTTGGCCAAGCCAGAATGTGGCCAAGACAAAAGTGGATTTTTATCGTAAAATCTCTCAAATCTTCGACGATGCATTCATGCAAACACTATTTTACAGTTATTCCAATAAAGCAGGGCTATTCAACTAAACTGCTCAGGGGCCGGACATCCAGCAGTTAAAGTCATTATGTAAACAAACCAAGTATTACAATGATCTGTTACCTTTTAAATTTGTTTATTTTGTAATGATTCATAAATGCAATAAACATAACCCATACCAAGTCCCATCAAAAAATAAAAAAATAACTCATTGGTGGGCCGGACTGAAGTCACCCGCGGGCCGGAAGTGGTCCGCGGGCCGCGGGCCGCCAGTTGAATATCCCTGTTTTAAAGCATCTCGTGCTGCATTTCAGATAAAACGAGCTACTGCTTTTTGCACGCCATAAAAAAGTAAATTTAATTAAAAAAATAAATAAATAAAGCATTTGATGGGAAATGATGAACTAAGTTTTACCTGAACTTTTATAAATTATTTTAAGACGTGTGCTGTTTCACGATGGTAGTGATCCACTTCAGTCTTGGCCTGCTTGGACTAGCTGTTAGCTCTTCGCTACATTTAGAGTTAAGGCACTTTCACAAAGCACCTGGACTTAAACACCTGCTTTAGACGTGAGACAGTGACAGAGATGTCATAACAACAATAAACAGATTAATTACGTAGAAAATCCATAATGACGCACAGCTACTTTGAATTGTGTTTAAAAAAAAATCACTAACCTTTCTAACTAACTAATAAGCTTTCTAAACTGAGTTAATTCTACATTTTAAATATAACAATCAGAGGCAGCTTAACGAAGGAGTGGTCTTTGCAACCATTTTGCAGAATTCTTATGTGAAAGTGCCTTTTAACTCTAATTCTCCAAACTGAGGTTGTTCAAAGAGCTACAACTGAAACAGGTAAGAAGCTTACTGTTCATAACCTTACCACAGAACCCTGCGTCCAAATAACTGAACTATCCCTTTAACACATCGTCACCTGCTCTCTCTCTTTAGTCTTTATGAGAATGAAAGTGCAAAACCATCCTTGTTGTGTCTGATCTCCACCACTCGCCTAACGTTTTTGTACACTTTAAATGATTTTTGTCTTTGTCTTTGAATATGGAGGGTGGAATGTGACTAATTAAAAAAAATAAATCAATCATGAAATAAAGAATTTAAAAGGTAGGTTTATTTACTTCATGGGACATTTAATTGTATATTTAATGATTTAATGATGTATTTAATAATTATCATGCAATTATTTAATTTTGTCACATTCCACCCTCCATATTTGAAAATCTTCAATCACCACCACGGGACGGACCTAAAAATGAGGTGCAGTTTTGTGATTACGAGGCTTCAGACCACTAAATGCAATTGTTCATTCCTCTCCCCTGCTAGCTGTGCTCATGTCTCAGTTAACATCCTTTACCCTCTGTAAACGCAGGAACCTGGATATGGCCAAACCTATGACATGTATGCAGATTGCCCATGCTGAATGAGTTCATATTCACATTTGCCAGAAAAAAAGGGTTGGGGGGAGGGGGGGAGAGAGCATCTACTTGGCATCACATACTTTCATACACACATGTAAATACACACTTACAGGGCACAATTATCACAACGTCACACTTATCTTCACTCTGTGACGCTGTCGCTGTTCAGTAGCATCGTCGAAGTTTCCCACGACCGTCCAGACATCAACTGGGTGTGAGAAAATTTAACTGTTCAGAACTCTACTGAAAATAGTAGAACTTGGCCCAAGAACTAAGAAAAAAAAAAGACTCTAAAATGGGAGAAGCGCTCATATTACAATATCCTGTTCTTCATCAAGCATTCGTCAACACGTCATCTTCTGTACAACTGAGCAGAATGAGCATAAGAAGTTATTAATGACTGTACATATTAATCTGAATAAACTGTAACTCTAGACTAACACTGCTTTTGGATATTGTGAACGTTACCAGGTATGCATGTTTAAACTGTGTGTCAGTACTTCATGAACGCTCTTGTCAACTCGTAAATTACATGTTAGGACTTGCCTGGCTTGTGTAGAAATAAAGCACCTTAATGTAAAATGTTTGGCTGGTCAAAACTTTTGCAACACAATTATTTTTATTATTATTTCTGGGAAGTGTTGGTTCGCAAAGGGCTGGTTTTGCTTCGCTGCAGGTAAAAAGACATTTAGACAAGCTGCTCTGGAGATAACACAAATAACAGCCGTGACTGTGAACGCACCTCACTACTCGTACTGATCTTGCACCGTTTCTTCCTGCTTCGCTTCATCCTTTTTCCCGACACGGTAACATCTTACACAATATTGTGCCACGTCTACGACACTTGCCTACTAAACAGCGAGTGGGTGACACGGGAGCTTCATGTGCACGTTTTCATTACGCCGGAGTGACATGTTCATTTCAAAACAGCTCGAGCTTTGGACTTTTGCATATTCGTGTTGATTGTTGACTACACGTTTTAAAATGTACAAACTCAGCATTAATGTTAATAATGGTTGTTACCATCCAGAATTGAGATTCTGACGTAAATATTTAGCTAATGATGATGCTTATATAGCCCTTGGGATTACTTAAAATAGACCTGTAGTTATACAGTTTAAGATTTCTGTGCCTTCACATATACGTCTTTGCCCTGTGTTTTAGCTTGCTATGCTGCAAAGCTAATATTAGTGCTGGCATTTTTTTTTCCTAACACTATTCTGTTCGTCTACTTTTGTCTAATTTGTAAGCAAATTTCATTTTTATGCGCACAAAAGCATGTGATGTACGTGTATCAGTTTCCTTCAACTCTCGTGTGAGCCTACGCATTCTAAGTGACTTATGGCTTTATCTCCGTAAAAAATACTGTTTTCTTTGGGGCAGGGTTGCATGGGCGTACATCTGAATGCTTTGTCACAATTTTCAGGAATTGTGTGAGACTTCTTCAACTATTCTCAGCTCAGAAGTTCTCATAGCAACCGCAGTGTGAAACTGTTTTTTTTTTTTTTTTTTGCATCGGTCACCATGTCGCTGATCACGTCGTCTTAGTTGAGGTCGTGGAAACGCAGGGCAACGGGACAAGAGCCACCAGGTAAGGTCTTCCATGCCCGTTTTTTGTTGTCCCTGAACCTCTTTTGTCTCTTTTCCAGTGCTTCATGTCAATTTCCGCCAAATCTGAGCGGCAAAGTCACTTCTTGTGGAAGTAGATGGTGTGAGTGAGGCCCGACTCCACCTTTGGTATCTGGTCACTGATAATTTCCACCAGCATTTCAGGGAATTCCACTTTAAGGGCCTGCGACTCACGAAAGGTGTAGAAACAAAAGTCCAACAAGTTCCCAACGAGCTGCGCATCAAAAACACATGAGAAAAAAAAACAACTTTATTTTTCTTACTACATTATGTATTAAGTGTTAATGACACACACATTGCATTTATTCAATTCATTCAATGTTTATCGTTCTTGCTGTCCTTGGGTTAGAATGACCTCTGAGGCCTCAGTTTTAAAACTGAAACCTCAGGGGTCATTTTAACACAAGGACAGCAGAATTGTTCAGTTTGTATCTCACTAGGCTGTGACTGCTGGGGACAAACTGTGAATGAGAATTTCAAGAAAATGTCCAAAATGTGACCGACGCTGGCAAAATAAGTCAGAATGAAAGTGATCGTCTTGTTCTGCTAGTTGCTGTAGCACCAGGAAAACCCGTGATAAAATTATCGTAATTTCCAGACTATAAGCCGCTACTTTTTTCACAAGCTTTGAATCCCACGGCTTATACAATGCTGCGGCTAATTTATAGATTTTTTTTTTTTTGACCGGCTAGCTAGCTTCATTCCACCAAAACATTTAGCCTCGTCACACCCTGGCGCTCACATAGCTGTCCAATATGCATCTCTCTTGGGGGATGGGTCCTCGGGACTCAATGAGACTACCTATAGAAATAAAGGTTAAATAAACGACCTATGAAATTCTCTCGACTCCCCTCCCCGTTGTGCCCCCAGGGAGGGGGGGAGATGAAATAAAGAAGTATCTGCAGCCACTCAAAATAAATGTGAATCGTGCATTATTGTGGCGCTCTGAGCTCGGTAGGAGGCTTGGACGACTAGCGGTGAGAAATCATTTACCAGAACTGGCTGCATGTGAAGAGGAACTTTAGCTCAAGTCTGCCAGTGGATCCTGACAGCGGAGCAGGGTAAAAAAATCCTCTGTCACCAACAGGTTTCGAAAGGCAACTGCATGATGAAGAGGACAGCACAAGCTCAAGTGTGCAGGAGGAAGATGAAGATAGTGATCAATGACCCTGGTAAACTACTGTATTTTTATTTTTTTTACCAGCTGTGTTACAGGCACTGTTCACAAAAAATATATACTGTATGTATTTGTGTATGTTACCAGTACGCATTTAATTAAAAGTTTGAAAAATCTTTCTGCTTAAATATCTCATGTTACAATGTGGACAAGCTTATATAAAAGCGTAGCCTATATATGTACAATTTTTTTTTTCCTTTTTAAATTTTATGGGTTCTTTTTAAATAACAATCAACAATTTAGACCAATAAAAATAATTAGTTTTCAAGCTGGTCGGTACTCAATAAAAACTAGCTTGATGCCAACCAGGTGACAAATTTCAACAAACTATATTTCATTTTGAAATGGTGAATTTGAAAATAATTCAATATAGAAAAAAATTAATCCTCATTGTGGCTCATTTTGCCCGCATGGGTCACAAAGGTCTCAACAGGGTCCTGAGATTTCATATGTGACTCATAAAGCTTTGCCCTGCTGTTGCAGGCATTTAAAACATGTCTGATAAATGTACAGAATAATTTTTTTCTCCAAATAATCAGAGTCATTGCAAACATCTGGAGCTTATCTTGCATCTTCCTGGAATCCTTCTCAGTTTAGTTTTGACGAGTCAGAAAGTACAAGAAATGTGAAACTTCTTTGGCAGCGATTGGCAAACAGTGAAACCAATTAGTAACTGACTGGAAACAAAATTAAAAGACAAATTACCGTTCATTTGAGATGTGATTGAAACATAAAGACACTTTGTGACTAAATAGGAGCATCACAATTTATTTTGTAGTTTGTACATACTAGAAATGTTATGTTGTCACTACAAATTAATTGAAAATGTGTCTATTGTCTCATAATTTTCCTACCGCTTTTTTTCCAACTAGTCTCCCAATTACAGTGGCCCTTAGGTGTAAATGATTTACATTTCAAAAAAACAGATTTATATTTGAAAAAAATGGAATTGTATGTGGAAAAAACTGAATTAGATTTGAAAAAACTGAAATGCATTTGAAAAAACGGAATTACATTAGAAAAAAATGAAATTACATTAAGCCAAAGCGGAAGTTGTCGAAGCAGAAGTGGCCCGAATCACATTAGAAAAAGCAGAATTACATTTGAAAAAACGGAATTACATTAAGCCAAACAGGAAGTTTTTTTTTTTAACTTTATTAACAGCATAAAACCGAACAACAGAACAATATACAGTACACACACGATGGAGATACAGTTAGCGGGGTATCCTTTAGCCTGTAGAAACCGTTTTGTTCAAGCTTAAAGAAGATATGACGCTTCCTGTTTGGCTTAATGCAAATTTGTTTTTTCAAATGTCATTCCGTTTTTTTCAAATGTAGTTTTGCTTTTATGTGATTGGGGCCGCTACCGCTTTGGCCGCTTCCACTTTGGCCGCTTCCACTTTGGCCGCTACCACTTTGGCCGCTACCGCTTTGGCCGCTTCCTCTTTGGCTTAATGTAATTCCATTTTTTCTAATGTAATTCAGTTTTTTCAAATGCTGTGATTTTGTTGTATATGTTGTGTTTTTCAAATGCAATTCCGTTTTTTTTTCAAATGTTGTTCATTTACACCTTAGGGCCACCATACCCAACAGTTTCAACCCAGTAAGATACTTGAATTAACATCCTTTTGATTAGGAACCCTGTGCACCTCTAGTCAACTCACCACTGGGGATCAGCACTGTTTATTTGCAAAGCTTTTTTAAAAACCGTAATCTATTCAGTGAATTAATTCAAACTGGTTATCTCTGTGACCCCACTTGCACCCAAAGGCTTTGCTCCTGTTGACCCTGAGTGTAGAAAAGTAACATTAATTTAGTACATTTCTCACAATGACTACTCAGTACTCTGATCCAATAAAATGAAAGCTCATATTGATCCTCTTCTGTTCCATTCACCAATGCAGCCTCTTCCAAAGTACCCCCCCCCCCCCAACTCCTCCTTAGGGAAAAAGCCAGATGTAATTATCCCTATTCCAAACTGCACAGCTTTATTGAACCATTAAATAAAGCATTAATCAAATCCACTGGGTTGCCATTTTACTTAATTCCTATAAAACTAGACACCTAGAGTAACAAATGGATGCCTCCATCCAATACGGAAGTGAAGTGACTAAAGGAAGCCTGCTTATTTGGTATGCTGTTGGCAGAAGCAGACAGGTCAAAGGTGACTTACATCGTGCATGGCGTCCAGCAGCTTGGTGAGCTGGAAGAAGCGTTGCCAGGTCTGGCCAGAATTGTTGGTTGCTTTTCCTACTGACCGCCGGAGCTCCTTGATGTAGTTTACCCTCATCTCCTCAAAAGCCGCCTGGTTCTTCAGACCCTCTTTGGGAACTAAAAAACAAAAGTTTATCTATCACCATCTTGATTTATATAAGTATTTCTATACAATACTATTACAATTTTACTTGCCAATTTTGGCAATAAATAAATAAATAAAGATTTTTACTTTAAATATAGTCTTAGCAAGCGGATACAACCATAGAAAAAAAGATTGTAAGATTTTGCGTAAGAAAACAGCAACAATGGTTGTTCTTTTTACCATGTTTTAAAATGATTAAATTCTAAATTTATAGTACAAAATCATAATACCTATTAAACAAACACAAATGGAAAAGATGTTTGTGAAAGATTAAGTCCACCACATGATTAAAGAGCTGTAGAACCACCTATACATCTATAACTTGAAGTAGTCTCCATCACAGTTGGTGGTTGAACCCAAGTGCAGGCAGACATGGGGAGCACTAAGTAAAATAAAAACAGATTTATTAAATAAATCAATAAATAAATAAAATAAGAATCAGAATCAGCTTTATTGTCATTGCACCAAGATACAACGAGAACATGTACGTACAGTCGTCTGAAAGATGGACGTAGTGCACAAAACTGCTGCTAATTAGCTCAGCCTTCTTATTCTTATTTAGAAGAATATTTTTGCTTAGATGAAAAAAGGGAAGAAAACATGAGGAGATAAGTTATAAAAAAAGATCTCTCACACCATGTCCTAGACATGGCATGGTTTGAGGCATCAAAAAACCTACCACAGCAAAGCAACATAAATAGACATGATACATATAGGCTGGTGAAGGCATTGAATTTTAAGGGAAGGTCGTAGCATAGTCCAGAGCCTCCCTCAGCCATTGTCCAGTTAAGAGGTGTTAGTTATCATCAGCTCGGTTGAGGTTCCGCCACATGTCCATGGCCATGGGGAAGGGAGGGGTGAGGAGACAGACAAAGCATCTTTGTTTTTCCTAAACATGCCAGGAAGCCCTCCGGATTGAAGGTGAAACGTTTGAGCACAAAAAAAGAAACCGTCCAGATGACCTGACTGAAAAATGTTGGCTTGTATACCTGGATTATTGAGCATGGACTTTGTTGATGCCAGGAAGTATTGAGATAAGTCCATCGTCAAGGCCATTGGGTCAGGCAGAACTCGTAAATTGCCTTTTCTGCCTTTTAAAGTTTCTCTGGTACATTTTTCTGATGGTGACTCCAAACAGCCGAATTGATTCCTTACGCCAAAAGTCGAGCTTTCAACTTCTCCAAGAAAATTCCCACCGTTCATGGGTGCCGCCAGAAAGTTCACAGTCCTGATAACAACCTGCTCCAGCTCTCTAACACGGCCCCATATAATTCAGTCTCAGTGCTGCCAAGCTTCGACACATCCACACAAATTTGTAGACAATACAGATTTCACCAACCCAAACAGCAGAATCTAGTTGTCATCATGAATCCAATTTTTTCCGTCGAGGTAAGAGGGTCCTCCTTACCCTAACTTCCTGTCGAGAGAAGTTGATCAATTTTGTTGAGACACCAGCTGATCAAAATCCTTCGAACTAGGAAGGTATGCAAGAAAAAAAGAGGCTCTTTTAAGGCTTCACAAGATGAAAGAGAGCGAAGCAGGGAAGCGGGGGGACAGAGCAGAAGAGGGCACGTCCGTCTTCACCGGAGCACAGAGAAAAACAGAAAAAAAAGCTGACATGGCAGCAGCAACTTATAAAAATCAGGAGATGAAAAAACATGACACAAAGGAACACAGGGTGGACTGGGACATCTGATGGGTTGCAAAGAACAATGAGCTGATGGAGAAATGGTGATCAGAAGTGGTTTAAATAGAAATGAGGAAGAAACTTCCTGAGGGGATTGTTGTATTTTCTGAATTGCCCTCGACGAAGATGGTCACTCTTCCCTCTCCGGTCGTCCTCCTGCTTTTGCTCTTTGTTCTGTGAATCTCAGAGCCTCTACACATCTTCCAAATAATACATTATGGCTCTGGTTAGCTGGTCTCTCAATGCAATTGATAAAATTTTCTTGATGAAGAGACAGGGTGCAAGAGAGCCCTCATGCCCTGAAGGGATACACGCAGCTGGATATGTCATGGATTCCTGGGGTGAATGGAAGATGATGTGCCTGTCTGTATTGTCCATTGAGGACGTAAAAGACATGTACGTAATTGGGTTTATGATAACAGGATTTCTGCTTTTTGGAATCAGCGGATACCTGGGATATCAACAAATTAGGAAGACGTTGGCAGCAGTTTGGCAATGGTGAGGCTGCCTGCCTTATGTGAAAGATTGAACCGTGCTTCAAGCGCTCAGACTCATATGCTTTGTGAACTGAACCATAAGCTGGATGCGATTTCTGAAAATCATAGGCCACTTGCAGCTCCTAGAATTCACTGGCATGAAGGAACCGACCTTGGAGAAGGTTAACAAGCACGGGCTGGCAGAATGTCCATAAATCTAGCTGTTTGGATTCGCCACTGAGTTTACCAGAAGAACTGAAGGCAGATACAAAATCAATAGTTGGCCTGCCCAAATCAATTGTTGCTTATCTGAATCTGGCCTTCCCACTTGGCCTTGGATGAGCCAACTTATCTCAAATTGCTCCTGGTGTATACGTAAATCCAAAAGCTCTGGTCCTGCTCACTCCCCTGAGAACATCCGTGGACCCTATCAGAATTGTACCAGATGCTAGACACTGTAACACAACACTACACAAGACAGGCCCTGGAGAAATGTGGATATCCTTACTGGGTCTTCCTGAAAGCAGAGAAAAAACCCAAACAGGACTCCAACCCATCACAATCACCTCATACCATCTATCAAATGCAATGGTCAGGTGAAAAAGAAGGAACCCAGACGCAGACCAGTGGTCATTCCGTATGTTGCGGAAGTATCAGAGAAACTGAGACTTTTATTTTCTAAACACAATGTCCCAGTGGCTTTTAAACCCCAAAATACATTATGGCAAAGACTGGTTCATCCCAAAGATCCAGTCCCCCGGCACAAAGAGTAATATTGTGTATGCTGTTCAGTGTCAGGAGGGCTGTGATCAGTCTTACATGGGGAAACTAAACAGCCAATGGCCAAAAGGATGGCCCAGCACAGAAGAGCAACAACATCAGGCCAGGACTCTGCGGTCTACACTTCAGAATCAGAGTCAGAGTCATAGTTTCTTTATTGTCATTCGCACCTCATGTGGTACATGTGGTGGAGTGAAATTAAGTACACGGGGTCCCAGTTACATCCAACAATAAAATGTATAAGAAAAACAGTAATAACAAATAAGATATGAACTAAGAAAAAAACATCAACTAAATATACACTAAGCACTCATAACATAAAACATTGTACATCAGCACAAACATGAACATGAGTCTGTGAGCAGATGTGCACGCATGAACACATCAACATTGAAACAGATCAGCAGCAACATGAAACAGATCAGCAGCAACATGATATGGTTTTTCACAGTGATTATTCTAGTTAGGGTAGAAGCTGTTCCTCAGTCTAGTGGTTCTACACTTAATGCTCCTTAACCTCCTTCCTGAGGGGAGTGGGGCAAAAAGTGTGGACAAACTCTACATCAACGGTCAGCTGTTTAGAGATCCAGAGGTTACTCCCTGGCTCTATTAATAATATAAAAAAAAGGTAAGTATGATCTTCAGTTGCTAATTTTACTTAAAATGTATTAGCAAGCATATATATTCATATTACTTACCAGATATTTATGTAATTTTTCAGCACAGCTCGGTTGGTGGGTTACACAGATGGTGGTGGTACACGGTGGCATGACACTTAATGTGGTAAGGGGGTTCTTTTTTTATTTTTTCTTCTTTTATCTTTATGTGTTTATTGTGTTTATTATCATCTCACTTTATTTTTTTTGTCTCTATTTTTCTGACTCAATAATTATTAGCACACAGGCACAAAGGCTTATATATATCCATATACATACATACAAATACCTCATAAAGGAATACATGCATGATTTACCTTCAAAAACAGCACTTAGTTTATCTATAAATCATAAATAATCAATCATTAAGGATTATGTTATTGTCTGGGTGTTTTACTATTTTTGATATTTGTGATAATGGGTGTGGTTTAATTATATTTTCACAAGCACAAATATGGGCATCTTAAGGTTTGTCACATGGAATATTAATGGAGCCGGTAGCCAACATAAAAAAAATAGAATCTTTAGCCAGATTAAAAGATTAAAGGCAGATGTTGTATTACTCCAAGAGATTCATAAATTACCGTCAACTGTGGATGAGCTAAAATCTCCTGAGTTTCCTCATGTATTCTCAGCCTGCTATAACTCAAGACAGAGAGGAGTAGCAATATTAATACATAAAAATGTGAACTTCACAATATTAGACACAGTTATAGACCCGCAAGGTAGATATATAATATTAAAATTATCCATACTCAGTCAAAAATATTGTATTGTTAGCTTATATGGGCCAAATGTGGACGATGCTGCTTTTTTTCATGATCTCTTTTCTACTCTATCAAATCACATGGATTGCTCGCTGGTACTGGGAGGTGATCTTAACTTTGGTCTAGATAACAAAATAGACAGGCTGAATGCAGTAGGAGCTCAACGCAGTTGGCAATCCATAAATGTAGTTAAACAGTACATGAGTGATTATGGACTCTGCGATGCATGGCGGTCTCTTCACCCTAATAGTAAAGAGTATTCTTTCTTTTCACATGTGCATCACTCTTACTCTCGTTTGGATTATTTTATAATCAGCAACTCATTGCTGACCAACATTTCAGACACTAAGATACACCCTATTGCTGTCAGTGATCATGCACCAGTTACTTTAAATTTAGATAATAAGAAAGAAATCCCAAAAAGTATAAACTGGAGATTAAATACCTCACTGCTTATGGACGAAGAATTTATACAATACTTTAAAAATGAATGGACATCGTATTTAGAGTTTAATGACTTGCCAGGTACATCAGCGTGTACACTCTGGGAGGCTGGGAAAACAGTTATGAGAGGGAAAATAATATCCTACGCAACAAACAAAAAGA